AATTACCTTGTTCCCTGTAACTTTACATATCCTGTTTACATCGGGCTATAAAAAGCAAGCGCTCGCATTGTTCGAGGCCCTCCTGTATGCTGTGGAATGGAGGGACCAAGTTCGAACTTGTAGTAAAGATCCTTGCCGCTTGGCTTTGACTCTGGACTCTGGTGGTCTTCTTTGGGGAACAAACGGTCTGGGCATAACACTACATATATATGTATATATGTTAAATATATATGTTAAATATATGTGTGTGTGTGTATTTAACATTTACCTCCCCCCCAAATTTAAGACCTCTACTCCAACTTAAGTTACTTTCCTATGACCAAATTCCACAGTTTATTAGTGGCAGAGTCAAGGCCACAATTTACTGTCCAACCTTCAAAAGGGTAAGAAATAAAGTACTTAGAGGATTACGCTGTAATATAAGCCAGCCAATGTAATGTTCAGGTGAGAATGTTAGAAATAACGTATGCATTGAGACCTTGGAAGAGGAAGTCATGATGAATTTCTGGACACTGAGAAATTCTGCTAAAGCTTGGTGTTAGTGAAGCGTGACAGCTAAATCCTTGATTTCAGCCATTTGTCACTAGAATACCTCCATCAGGAACTTCAGGGTGTATCCACCGCAGCGTATACTTAGCTTCCAGTTTTTGGATGCTTCGCGGCCTCCTTCAATTTCGAATTCCCTGGGGGTGAACCGCCTTCCATCCTCACTCTGTATACACTTCTTTGAGATTCCTGTAAGACCAAGGCAAGGTGAGCTCCCCAACTGTGAAAACACCTGAACTTGGCCCCCGCCATGCTGGGGTCTGGAGCCTCCCACTTGGGCTCAGGATCGTAGCAGTAGAGTCTGAATTTTCCTGTCAGACATCAGGGGTGTCATACCCAGCCTGAAGGAACAGAGATGAAGGGGACTCTCTTTCGTGTGTGTACATTTCTTTGACCTTCATGCAATGAGAAGAAATATTACTACCCACATTTACCTTTTCAACGTATTTTGCTATATTCCAAAGGTCGGAGGTGGGTGCAAAGGATGGCCCTAAAGAATGAGCAGAATTCCTTCTCCTCCCTCCTCTGAGACCTGATATAGAGTCAGCTTGAATTTCAGAGGTGGATGAAGGCACAAAGCCCTCTGCCATGCTCTTGGGTCCCCAGGTGGCCCTGGGGAAGCTGTTACTACAGCCACGTCTGCCTTGTCTTGTACCATGTTGTTCAACCAGCAAATGACAATGATGTTTCACATTTTGAACTCATGGCTATTTTGTATTAAAAGTAATTATGGAAATGTTATATAGTGGGAGAAGTTAAATTACCCTTATGCAACATAGTCATGGGGCAAACATTTATATTTGTTGGTGCTCAAAGAACTATGTCGTGGGGAGGTGTCAGTCATGACAGATGAACATTAGTTCTGTAATTTAACAATTGTAACTTGCAAAGTATTTTATGTCTGTTATTTTATTTTTTCTCATAATAATACAGTGAGGCAAGTTATATTATTGTTCTGATTTTGTAGAGAAGGAAGTTCAAGGTTAGAGAGACCGAGCACCTGGCTGTACATGAATCAGACACTCTTGGTATAGCTGAAACTTGAATGCAGGTCTTCTGATTCTAAACCTTGTGATCTTATCATTTAGCAGCAGGCTGTACAGATGTTATGGGAAATGGGGCTGTGAAAGTTAGTGCTGAGATTCTCAGATGTGTATATTTTCCACCCAAGTATTAAGGTGCTTGCCCTTGTAGTGGGTGCTAGTTGGATGTCTTGTGGGCCTTTCACATAGGGGAAAGGGGAGATGGCCTCATAGGCTAATGTTTTATGAATTTTAAAAGTGTGAAAATGTCATTGTTGTGCAAAACAGAGTTAACAGAGTGGGCCTGAGACTTTCCTTAGAGGGCCTATATGCAAGGTTGCCCATTGTCTATATGCAAGCTGGGCCACTGGCATTTAGGAATTTGGATTTTAGGAGAGTTCTATCATTCGCAGAACTCACTGTGGGCTAAACTGTTTGTAATAAACAATATGGATAGACATATTGTTTATCCATAAAGATAAAGCCCTTTAAAGATAAATCCCTCTTATTTATGGTTATAAACAAATGCAATTTATTTATATTCTCTTACAAGAATAAATTTGAGATAGCCTATCCAAAGAGATCTTGTTGAAATGTTGTGTAATCCGGGAACCACCTATCCTAATGTATTATTTTCAGACATATGTAAATAAATTGCATTTATCTATAACCATAAACGAAGAAGAGGGCTCACTGTGCCTAAACTGTTTGCACAAATGATACGGTTTATGCTGAACACCCACTTTCCTTCTGGGAATCTGGAATTTTGGTATGTGCTAGGCAGAGGGTGCCTATGTGACTGGTAAAAACCCTGGACTCCTAAACTCAGGCTGGTTTCCCTGGTAGACAACATTTTACATGTGTTGTCACAGTTTGTTGCTGTAATAATTAAATGAGTCCCGCATGACTCCACGGGGAGAGGACTCCTGGAAGCTTGCTTTTGGTTGTCTCTGAACTTCACCCCAAGTGCCTTTTCCCTAGGGTATGTTTTGCATGCTTCACTCATAAACCCTAGTTGTAAATCTGATGATGTCCCAAGTCCTAGGAAAGTTCCTAGCAAATCATCAAGCCTGAGGCTGGTTTTGCAGACCCTCAAAGCAGGTGTCTACTCCTAAACAGTATGCTATCTGTGTGGATATTTTCCTGCTGAAAATCGTAGATGGACCAGTACACTCACCTTGTTTGAATTGCTCCTTATATAGAGTGCCCTTCACGTCACCACAGGTCACAGGAAGTGCAGGTTGTTTAAAATTAATATTTTCATCTCTGGGAATTCTTGGATCTGCAAGGAAGCATTTTTTTTTTTTCATTCCATCTTATTTTACAACTGTGCGTTGTTCCTCCCCACCTGTCTTGAGAGCTTTCTTTTATAATTTAAAATGTATTGGAGGGGTTTCCCCCATGATTCAGTTACATTTCAAAGTCTTTCTTTCATGGCACATTAGATAGCTGTAGATACTGTTGTCCTCCACTCCACCCTCTAAAATACTACACAACAGCCTGGCGTGTGGTAGGATCTTAACTTTCAACCTGGTTGGTCATATCCACCTATCACACAGTGATTTTCCTCCTGATGTTTTGAAGGGAGATTTCTACTCATATTATTGCTTTGACGTTATGTTAAAAAAAAAAACCCTCAAATTTTAGTTTCATCTCCCCCATTCCAGGCATTGACGGAGGGGATAGAGGGCAGGATGGCAGAGCGGCACCTAATGGGGCACCTGCTTTGCTTCACTTCCCTTTCACTTGAGCTTTCTCTGCTGCTAAAAGGGAAGCTTGGTGTAGAGGGTTCTAGAAGAAACTGCACATTGAGAGAGGAGGGATAAAGAGAGATTGACGAAGGGTTCAAATATACTGTTAGATAGAAGAAATAAAGCCTGGTGTTTTCAATAGATCAATAGGGTGATTATAATTAACATGAATTGATTATACATCTCAAAATAGCTAAAAGAGAATAATCTGAATGTTCCTGGCATCAAAAAAGGTAAATATTTAAAGTGATGGATATCCCAATAACTCTGATTTGATTATATGAAAGTATCAAATTATCACGCGTACCCCCAAGTATTTTTATCTATTATGTATTAATCAAGCAATCAATAAAAAAGAAAGTGCACATTGCTCGGGGAACCCTGCATGAGCACATGACTGGGGCACTGGGGATCTGGTTCCACTGAAGCAGGTATTGAGGGTATTAAAATGAACTTCTGGTCAACGTTAAGTCTCCAGTACTAGCTCCATATGCAAATTAAGAAAACTGACTTATTACTCACAGTACAGAATATTAAATATTAAATGTTTAATTATGAAAAACATATTGATCATTTCTTTTTACCTCTTTTTCTTCTTCTTTTCAAAGGTCTATTGTTGGTTTTTCTTCCTGAGAAAGTTGAAACACAACATAAATATTTCTTTGCGTTGCAAATAGTAGTGTTTTACAAAACCACCATTCAAATGCAACTTTTCAGGATCCTGTCTAGAACTTAAAGAAAAACATTAAATGCCTAGGTCAGGAGTTGGGAACTTTTTTTGTAAAGGGACGGATAGTAAGTAGTTAAGGTTTTTCAGTTCATAACCTCTGTTGTGACTACTCAGTTCTGTAGTTGTGTCATCAGTGCATCAAAGGATGCGACTGTGGCTGTGTTCCAGTACAACTTTATTTACGGTCAGCCGGATAGATTTGCCCTGTAGGTCGTAGCTTGCTGACCTCTGATCTAGACTTGATTACAACCATGATGCTTAACTGAGATGCATCCTATATTTCTCTATTAATATCTCCAAATCATTCCAAATAAATTTGAAACAGTATTTTACCTGCTTCCCAAGCAACAGGGGGAGAGCAAGAAAGAAGTTGAACATGTATTCAGTGCTTGTTGTAGGCCAGGAGCTATCCTTAGATCTTTGCCTCTATTAACCGACTTCATCTTTACAACAAAATCTATTAAATAGGCGCTAGTACTATCCTCACTTTACAGATGAGGAAACTGATGGTCAGAGATAAATATATAAATTAAAGTGTTGACAATTTTCTTTGGGAAAGAGTTAGAGATAAAAAGTAGCAACATGAGGTCTGTGTAGACTCTACCAGTCAAATATGTAAACTTGGAAGGTTTTGTACTGAAAATGGTGAGGAAAATGACCAAGGACTTAAAAACTAACCCAATGAAGGCTATTCAAGAGGAACTTGTAGAAATTAAGGCACAAGGCCTAAGAGTTGTATTATTAAAGATAGCACAAAGGATTGACTTAAAAGATATCTTGGGGCCAGGTGCGGTGGCTCACGCCTGTAATCCCAACACTTTGAGAGGCTGAGGTGGGTGGAGTTCTGAGGCTGAGTTCTGAGGCTGAGGTCAGGAGTTCAAGACTAGCCTGGCGAAACTGTCTCTACTAAAAATTAAAAAAAAAAAAAATAGCTGGGCATGGTGGTGTGTGCCTGTAATCCCAGCTACTCGGGAGGCTGAGGCAGGAGAATTGCTTGAACCCGGGAGGCAGAGATTGCAGTGAGCCAAGATCACGCCACTGTACTCCAGCCTGCGCGGCAGAGCGAGACTCCATCTCAAAAAAGAAACAAACCTTGGAAGCATGTATCTATGTGTTGATCGATGTGTCCAAACCAAGAGCCAGTCATTCCAGATGTATGTTTAGATCTGCATCGTTCTAACGTGTTTGCTGAAGTCAGGGATGCAGAGTGGATGCTCTTTCTTTCTAAAGGTCTGTGCCCATTATTCTGTGCCCATGGCTGGTATCATAGGGTGCTGATTTGGGTCCTGCAAGCCCCGGGAGAAAACCTCCTCCAGATACTCAATCATGCATGCTTCTTCCTTTGAGCAAATTATGACCAGATTAGGTTGGAAAGGCATCTTTCCTTCAATCTAGCATAAAGAAACCTTGGGATTGATGATACTGTATTTTCTGGGCCTCTGACATAACAATTACTTAGAGGTTTTTTTTTTTTTTTAAACTTCATCAAGATAAAAATGGTACCATCAGACATTTACTGATAATTCACATGCCAAGAGGAATCATATCCCGAGAAAAAGCACGCTTTACCGCACAAGATGTTGCCCTTAGGAAGTTTATTAAAATATTACAGAGACACATGGAGAGGAGAGATTACTAAACCTGCATAAAAGAATTATAAACTTGGCTATTGAACTAAAGGTGCCCCCCCTACTTTTTTTTTTTTTTTTGAGACCGAGTTTTGCCCTCTTGCTCTGTTCCTCAGGCTGGAGTGCAGTGGCACAGATCTCGGCTTGCTGCAACCTCCACCTCCTGGGTTCAAGTGATTTTTCCTTCCTCAACCTCCTGAGTAGCTGGGGATTATAGGTGTGCGCCACCACACCCAGCTAATTTTTGTATTTTTAGTAGAGATGGGGTTTTACCATGTTGCCCAGGCTGGTCTTAAATCCAGGCCTCAAGCAATCCACCTGCCTCAGCCTCCCAGAGTGCTGGGATTACAGGTGTGAGCCACCACACCCGGTCTGAACTAAAGGTTTAAAAGAAACATGTAAAATGTGGAAACATGGAGACCTCAAGGAAGTAGATGAAGCTTTCTTACCACTCCTTGCTTGTCTCTCAGAAAAATTTGCTCTAGATTGATCAGTTTCAAAGACCATGATTGTGCCAAGTGTGGTAGTTGATGCGGTTGCCACAGTAAAATGTCATCCACACAGGGGTGGCTCTGTGTGGGACTCTCCTGTCACACATGATGATCAAGTTGAAGGTGCACCCAGGAAAACCGGCCACTTCTAACTCTTCTCTCCTCCTTCCCCCAACTCTCCCTTCTCCCCACAGTTCCATCAAAAGACACTTGTTCTCTGTCTGCTTTCTTCTTTCCCATAAAGTGATCAAACTGGAGATCCAGCTCTGGCCATAATCTGGGTCTGTTCAGCCCTAGCCATTATTGGTCAATATATAGTCTCTTGCTCTCAGTTTATCTCTGTTTAAATCCTTCTTGGACTGCAGGGATTTCCTTTCAATCAAAACCTATTGAGGGCAAACAACTTCAGGGCAAAACACCAGAAGCTAATTGCACTGCTTCCCCGCTCTTGGTATGGAGACATCTGGGCTGAGGAGGAGATCACGTGTAATAAAGTGCTGCAGAACTGTGCTTTCCAGTGGTTCTTTGTGTGTTCGCTGGCTCCAGCACCTCACTACAATTGTATATCCAGGCAGTCAAATGCCTGGACACAGTAGGATTTAATGGTTCTTGGGTCTATCAGTTTTAATTCTACATTAACCATGTAAAATAATAATATGGTCAGAAAAAATTAAAAGCTATTTTAAAATATATATTTTTTTCACAACAGGGACTAATCATTTTTGGCAAAAGAGTATATCACCATGTTTAGGTGATTCTTTGGTTATCTCAGAGTATTAGCAGAAGCCTCAACATCCAAGAATGCCACAATAGGAGCCCAGTACTTCTATATTCTAAGGCAAGATGCCAGTCTATCTGCAAAGAACATGGTAGGGGATTGGGAGCCTGGTTCTGCCAGCATCAGCCTTTCCCACCTTCAGGCCTTATGAGAGAGGCCACATTTCTCTGGAGAGAATTGTCAGACACCTTCTCTCAAGCCAAATGAGAAGGTTTAAAGACGTCTAAGCAGGAGATGGACCTCTGTCCCTGGGAATGTCAGGGAATGAGAGACTCTCAGACTCACTGCTGAGAAGCGCAAAGGTGAAGGTCATGGCTAGTTGGGTCAAGGGTGCCAGAGGGCTGAGCTGGGAGCCAGCAGGGAAATAATGAAGAAGCACGATCCCCATGGTCTGCTGCAGACCTCGTGGATGGGAGCTGGACTGGGTGTTTTTAAGAGATACTCTCACTGAGGGAACAGCAGTGGATTGTGTATTTTCTAGAAGGACCATCCAGTGTCTTAATTCCCAAGCAGGTTGGCCACCACCAACTATGGAGAGGCAGTTGCATACACTGCTTCTGCCATTCTAGTGGGGGAATTCATAGCCAAAGGAAATATATATATATATACACACACACACATATATATATCACACACACACATATATATGTATATATGTATATAGAGAGAGTCTATATGAAGTTATGTGGCCAGAGAAAGAGTTTTAGGTGTCAAAACTCTTTTAGATGACAAATTTGTCTGTAAATTTGAGCAGGATAACAACAGGCAGTCTGGCAGGGGATGGTGTCTGTCTTCTCTGTTTGCCTCCTCCTTCATGCACCTTTCTCCTGGCTGAAGGAGCAGCTCAGCAGAGTTCCAGAATCATCTGCAAATTGCACAGGGAGGATGCTTTGCATTTCAGAGCCTCTATGTGGTAGAGGTGGGGACTGAAGAGCTGACTTAGTAGAAACAGGTGTAAAGGTCTTAAAATGAACTTGAGGATGCTGAGCTGCTGTTCCAACCCTTCCAGTCAGTGACACTGGGGAAGAGGCACAGTCTACGAGGGCTCTGTGCTGATGATGCAGGAGAGGGGGCTGTCTATGGTTTTTACTGAGTCCTGTAGGAGATCCACGGAATGAGAAGCCACATGAGAAGCTGGGATGGGCCTTGGAGGGCAGCCAGTCTAGCCTAACTGACCTAATTTCACTTTACAGGTAAGTAAACTGTAATTTACTTGGGGCAGACCCAAGTCCACGCAATTACCACATGCTGATAAGCAAGAGGAGGGACAGCTACATCACTTTCGAATTACACGGGTTTTGTCTGTTTTGTTTTTGTTTCTATGCCAACAACTATATCTGGCCTTGAAAGTTATCAGTTCAGCAGAGGAAGCACTGCAGGCAGCTCCTGGGCCCTGGGGTCAGGTTGCAGATTCATCACCTAGCTACTTGTTTGTGGTGTTATCATCTTTTTTTCCCTGACATATCTTGGAACTTGACTAAATCTGATATATTTCTCAACAGTAAGTACAGTGACATAAAGCAATTAGGAAAAAAATGTTTTTTACTAAGAGCATGAACATTTACACATTATTTATTTAAAATGTATTATTTTTTTTTACCTCTTGGTTGCCGTCTTTCCTTTGGGACTTTGTTATTCCGAGTTAAGTGTTTTCTATGTCTGTGTTTCTTTCTCCCTGAGAAAATAGGAAAATATAAATATGGATGGTGTAAAAAACTCACATTATATATAATAGTGCTTTCAAAAATTTTCTTTAGCTATAACTTTTCCAGAGCTTAACACACAAAGAAAAATATGTAACACATAGCCTTGCAATGACCAAGCCTTTGGTGGTTAACCTGGGTTCATCCTAGATTTTCTTTTCCTTACCGTGACATTAATCCAAATTCATTTGTCCCCCTACATTAATTTTAAAAAGAACTTAAGACAGTTTCATTTATATCCCAAAGAATACTGTAAGAATAATAACAATGATGAGGGCTAAGACTTGAGTGCTTATTATGTGCTAGACATGAACACAAGATATGTACATCTACTAATTCATTTATGAGATAGAGAGTTTTACTCCCCCTATTACCAATGAAGAAACTTCAGCATACAGATATTGCAAAATGAAGTGAAGCATTGCAGATTTCCTCTGGTTGTGAGGAAATCAATGGCAGCAATGCAAGAATTTGGATTGTCCCACTCATTTTGATGGTGAGACACCAGCCACCATCTTAGCCCTCAGTGAAGGCGTTGAGACTGAAAATACAGTGAAAATGACCAAAGACCTTATTCACATAGGTTTGGCCAAAAAATTAGGATCTAAGGAACTAACCAAGAGACTATTGCCCAAGGGGAATTTGTACAGAGATTCAAGTCCCAGAAAGCCTCATGGTTAGGACTAACAAAGGGTTGACTGAAACCCTATCTCAGGAGTATGCTGTTAGATTCAGCAGGTGATGGGGGTAGGTAGAAAGACAGTGAGGTATGTGCAGAAGCATCTCATGAGTGCCATGTTTAAAGGTGCTGATCTCTCAGGCAAGGCCATAAAGTTCCTCTCCTCTCCTCTCCTCTCCTCTCCTCTCCTCTCCTCCCCACCCCCCCTCCTCTCCTTCCCTTCATCCTTCCCTCCCTCCCTCTTTCCCTTCCCATGCTGTCTCCCTGTATTTTTCTTTCCTTTCTTTCTTTCTATGACCTGGCCACAATTTGAACTTGTCCAGCCGTAGATATCTTAGACAAACAAAGACTCTTTTTCTGTCCCTCTATGTCTTTGGTCCTGTTGTAGTCGCCTGTCATCAAAGTCCATTGAGGACAAACAAATTAGAGGTGTACAAGTAGTTTAGTTCAGTTTACTTGAGTTCTACTTACAAGGAGATTTGGAGCTTAAGATCTGCTAATACTATGGAGCTCTTGGGACTTCCTTTGTAATTATTCTATGCAAATTGTCTTGCTCAAATACCCCGCAGGAAGTAGTGTGGCAATTCTTGGATTTCCTATCCAAGTGCTAACAGTTAACACCATGTTCTTGCTATAGAAGTTGAGTAACGTGCTCCTGCCTCCTTAAGGCAACTGAGAAGACTACAACTTCAAGGTAACTGATCTTCACCTTCAGGAGTTTGAGGAAGGCAGAGACATTTATAGACTCAATCCTAGAATGTCGAGAGGGTCTGAAGAGTCATAATTCCTATAGGTCTCCCTGGGGAAAGGAGGAGCTCACTTAGTTCTTCTTGAGAGATATTCTGTCTAGGACAATCACTTGGGTGGATGAGTTGACCCCAGCAGGAGTGTCGTGTGGACCTCCCAGAGCTGGGAGACTGAGGGAATTGGTAAGCGGCCAGTTGAAGTTCCTGAATTAGGGGAACTTCAGTTGAGAGGTTCTCTCTAAGTTGAGTGTCTCTGAAGAACTCATAAATGAATATGGCTCATGCATCCACCAATATCTCGGAGACACAAAAATCTGTAAGGTTGGTGCAAAAGTAATTGCAGTTTTTGCTATTCCTTTTTTTTTTTTTTTTTTTTAAGGCAAAACCCACAATTACTTTTGCACCAAGCTATATAGTATGAGGGCCATTCCTGCTCCTGTCCACTTCTTTCTCCCCCTCCTCCTAGACCCAAATTAGTTGAAAGCAATAGACACTCAGTGGAGGTGGAGAGGAAGTGTGGATGAAAGGAAATGCTGACTTCACCCAGCTTCCCTACCACATGGTTTCCAGTTTTAATATTATATCAGCTCAGGCTTTTAAATATTAAATGAGATATTACTGCTAAAAGGGACTAGCATAGCTCTAGGGCTTACCTAAGACTTCATTCATGGGCAAGAAAATAACTATTTGAGAGAACAGGTTTGAAAAGTAAGTAGAAGGAATAAATGTGATTTCTGCTTAGACTTAACAAATCCAAGTATTTTAATAAAATAGTTAAGGTAGGGAGGCTTCCATAGAAACCAGTAAAAACATGAAGGAAGAAACATCTCAGACCTGGGTAAGTACAAACTAGAATATAACCAAGATGACAGATAGGTATAGAAATAAAAATGACAGAGATGCTGGAAATATTACATGTATATACTTACTTATAGTAGAGTTATATTTAAAGTTATATTTGAAAATAGTTATATCACATATAAACATATGTATACATGTGTATGAGTGACAGAAATAATTAGAAATCATGGGAAAAAATATATCCAAATACGCTTTAGCTCTAGAGGAAAAAGTGCTGCCATCTCTACAGTGCCATATCAACTTGCCAGAAATATTTTACAAGATGTAAAACAAAAAAAATAAGGTAGGCAAGAGAAACATAAGTAGAATGGGAGAGGGAAGGAAATAAAGGAGAGACAAAGAAGAGGAAGGAAAGGAGGAATGCAATAAACATAAAATCCACAAGATCTGATGAAGAGAATGGAGTGTCACATCTTTTTTATCTTCAAGTGCGCAGTGTGGCATATGCTCTGATTGAGTTTGGTTCACTGCCTGTAATCCCAGCATTTTGGGAGGCTGAGGCAGGTGGATTACCTGAGATCAGGAGTTCAAGACCAGTCTGGCCAACATGGCGAAACCCTGTCTTTACTAAAAATACAAAAATTAGCCTGTAATCCCAGCTACTTGGGAGGCTGAGGCAGGAGAATTGCTTGAACTTGGGAGGCGGAGGTTGCAGTGAGCTGAGATCGTAGCACTGTACTCCAGCCTGGGTGACAGAGGAACACTCCATCTCAAAAAAGAAAATAAATAAATAAATAAAATAAAATAACCCCGTGTTTCTCAGGCTTCAATCTGATGTGGCACCAGTACTCTGGCTTCCATGTAATTGATTCAAGTTATCTCTGTTCTGTCCCAGACTGTATTAGTTACAACACACCTTTCTAACACTTCCTCCTGTTGCCTCATTTCCTAATCAGGCCTGGCATGTCTCTGCCCACATAGCTCTGTCATGCCTCTCAGCTTCCGGCTCCTGTGCTTGCCAAAGAGTCTCAGGTGACAAAATGGCTGGATCTGAATCAACGGAGAGTCTGAGTTTTCCTCTTTATTTAAGGGAATCAGTGACTTTGGAGGCAAACATGAAGGGCAAGTAGGCATATTGCTATTTGTCACCCATAATCATTCCTTCTTCCATAAGAATAGACTTACAGCTGAACCAAAGACTGCCTGGCCAGCGTTACATTTCTCAGCCTCACTTTGCAGCTAGCTCTGGCCATGTAATCAAGTTTTGGCCAATGGAATGTTGGCAGAAGACTTCTGAGTCTTTCTATTAAAATAAACAAATGGCTGGTTCTTTTGTCAGTTTTTTTTTTTTTTTCTTTCCCACTGGTTGGGAGACAATGTCGACCAGATCAGCCCTTGTGGACCCACAGTTGGAAACTTCATGTCAAGGAAGGCAGACTGCCTACCACTTCTGGGCTCTCAGATTATTTGTTTTAAGCCACTGTATTTTGAGATCTGTTTGTTACAATGACTTAGCTGGTACTCTAAATAATCCATTGGGTCTGAAGCTACCATGGCCCATAGGAGATTTTGAGGCTGCAGCAAGGATGGGGTCTGGCAGGAAGAACAGGACCACAGCGAGTTCAAAGGAGTAAATCCCCACATTTCTTCTTACCTCTTTGGAGACCATTTACTTTAAGTATATGTTTTCTCTTTTTTCCTGCACACAGAAAAGAAAGAAAATAATCTTCTATAACTGTAAACAAAGATCTGCACACTTTTTATGTCAATAGTTTCCAAGTATTTAATTTTGTTTTCCTTCCACTTTTGTGGGGCTAAGTCCTCGGCTACCAACATCCCATCTTGGTTGTTGTCACAGAGAAACCAGTAACCACAAAGCAACCTGTTTTCACACAGTGTTAGTTATTTACACTATGCTTGTACATATCCATATGTGGTCTTATCATTCACAATAAAGAAAGATTTTAAAGTAGCTGAAATCAAGCAGGAGGTGACAGGAGCAGCAGAAGAGTACCAGGAGGGTCAAACAATAGTAGGTCTAAGAAATCACCAGTGATGGCCGGGCACAGTGGCTTGTGCCTGGAATCCCAGCACTTTGGGAGGCCAAGGTGGGTGGATCACTTGTAGGCCAGGAGTTTGAGACCAGCCTGACCAACATGGCAAAATCCTACCTCTACTAAAAATACAAAAATTAGCCTGGAGTGGTGCCATGCACCTGTAGCCCCAGCTACTTGGGAGGCTGAGGCAGGACAATTGCTTGAACTTGGAAGGAGGAGATTGCAGTGAACTGTGATCGTGCCACTGCACTTCAGTCTAGGCGTTAGAGTAAGACTCAGTCTCAATAAATAAATAAATAAATAAATAAAATAAAAAAAGAAAGAAATTACCAGTGAAGTACACTTCATGGAATTCAGAGGCATGCTTTGAATAGCTAAGGCTGTAATTGTGTTTATAACAGCCAGACCTTAAGAAATAAGTAGAAAAAAAAATCAGAGAAATGAAGACAAATTTAGAAGAAAAAGGAGATGAGGCATTTCAGAAATTAAAGTGAAGGACATCTATTACAGAAATACGAAAAGGAAACAAGAAATATTAAGAATGATTAAACAAATTAGAAATCAAGCTGGGCGCAGTGGCTCACCCCTGTAATCTTAGCACTTTGGGAGGCTGAGGCAGGTGGATCACCTGAGCTCAGGAGTTTGAGACCAACCTGGCCAACATGGCGAAACCCCGTCTCTCCTACAAATAAAAAAATTAGCTGGCATGGTGGCACATGCCTGTAGTCCCAGCTACTTGGGAGGCTGAGGCAGGAGAATCACTTGAACCTGGGAGGTGGATGTTGCAGTGATCTGAGATGACTCCATTGCACTCCAGCCTGGGTGACAGAGTGAGACACTGTTTCAAAAATAAAATAACATAAAATAAAAATTAGAGAGAAAATAATCAATGTAAGTGAACAAATTATTGGAGTTCCCAAAGCAGAAAATCAAAATAATAGAAGAAATACTTGATGAAAAAAGTTTGTGGAATTATAATATAAATTGAAATGTATATATCAAAAGTACCTATCTCTTCACCCTGTCACAGAGAAATTGACCCAAAATAGCCAACACCGAGATATATTTCCAACACATTTATTGGACTTTAAAGATAAAGAAATAATTGAATGGGCAGTGTAGGCAAAAAGTTATTTTCAAGGGAGACTTATTGGCCACAAAATTTTCCACAGCAGCTTTTAATGCCACAGGAAAGTGGAGAAAAACCTGTAAGATATTTCTAGAAATAAAGAATGAGCAAACTATTTTTCAGGTATAAATAACACAAACAAATTTGAACAGAAAAATTCTTGGAATGTAGTTTCTGAGTCCTCATTACTAGAAGCTGTACTTCAGCAAACTATGGTAGAGCTGAAAATTCTGGCAAAAGGACCAAAATAAAAGTGGGCAGTAGGGTGACAGATGACAATATGAAGTGCATACGCTCTGACAATATAGAAATAGTATAATAACAACAAATATGAAGAGGAGAAGGGTTAGGTGCAGTGGCTCATGCCTGTAATCCCAGCACTTTGGGAAGCATAGGTGGAAAGATCACTTGAAGCCAGAAGTTTGAGACCAGCTTGGGCAACCTAGCAAGACCTCGTCTCTACAAAAAATTTGAAAGAATTAGCAAGCTATGGTAGTGCACACCTGCAGTCCTAACTACTCAGGAGGCTGAGGTAAGAGGATCACTGGAGCCCAGGAGTTAGAGGTTGCAGCTAATATTGCACCACTGCCCTCTAGCATGGGTGACAGAGTGAGACCCTGTCTCAAACAAAACAAAACAAAACAAAAACAAACAAACAAAAAACAGGGAGGGGAGAGCAAAAATAGGCTGTAGAGCAAGTTCTTTGTTTATTTTAAAGGTAGGAGTCCAAAGGTATTGTGTTGACAAATCCAAGAGTGGATGTAAAGCAAGGTTAATGGCTGAAAGGTAAACATGGTAATGTCATGGCCTAAAATTGGGTGGGAGAGGAAAAAGACTGGACAATGGAATGGCACACAGGCTGATTTTATAAATCTTCTGGGCAGGAAACTAAAGGGTACTGTCTAAAATAGAGCACCAAAGGAATCATATAAAGGTAATCCTAAAAGTAATCACTAGAACAAAATGCAAACCTTCTTTAAATTGGAAGTATACACTCCTAACCACTGAGAAAATACGAAATGAGTGTGGGCTGCTTACCCATTCATTTATTTCAAGGGCAAGACTCAGAGGTGGCTCACATATCTTCTGCTCATATGCCATTGGCTAGAACCTAATGACATGGTCACAGTGAACTGTAAGGAAGGCTGAAAGTATAGTGATACGGTTTGGCTCTGTGTCTCCACCCAAATCTCATGTTGAATTGTAATCCCCAGGTGTTGGGGGCGGGCCCTGGTGGAAGGTGATTAGATCACAAGGGCAGATTTTCCCTTTGCTGATCTTATGATAGTGAGTTCTCACAAGATCTGGTGGTTTAAAAATGTGGCACTTCAGCAGCCAGCACTGGAACTCACAACTGCCTAAAATGCTAAGTTCCCTTGGCAGGGGAAGGGTGGCATCCATCTCTACAGCTCCAGGCCATGCTTTTCCTCAGCTGGAGCCAGGGAGACTGGACGGCTTGGTCCCAAGACATGTCCCCCAAAGCCCAACACACTGGCTGTGGCCTACTGCAGCCAGAGTGCCTCTTCAGGCCTGACCCTGACTCATCCTTCCTCACTGGATGGGGCTTCCCTGCAGGAACTCCAATAACTCCAGTCAGAGGCTCAGGGACAGAACCCAGATCTCCTTGGGCCTGAGCCCATAGAGAAAAGGCCACAGTCTCCATGAACCAGCAGACTTAGCCTTTCCTCCTGGTAGTTCTGAGGAATCCAGGCAGCCCAGACAACTTGGTTTCCCCCCAGCAAAGCACACCTCCTACACCAAGGGACAGTCATTGTGCTTCATTGAATAAAGCCTCCAAGAAATATGGGACTTTATAAAAAGACCAAACCTACGATTGATTGGAGTACCTGAAAGAGATGGGAAGAATGGAAACAAGCTGGAAAACATACTTCAGGATATTATCTAGGAGAACTTTCGCAACCTAGCAAGGCAGGCCAACATGCAAATTCAGGAAATACAGAGAACACCACCTAGATAATCCATGAGAAGGTCAATCCCAAGACACATGATCTTCAGATTCTCCAAGGTCCAAATGAAGGAAAGACCAGAGAGAAAGGCCAGGTCACCTACACAGGGAAGCCCATCAGACTAAACATTAGACCTCTCAACAGAAACTCTACAAGCCAGAAGAGATGGGGTGCCAATATTCAATATTCTTAAAGAAAAAAATTTTCAATACAGAATTTCATATCCAGCCAAACTAAACTCCATAAGTGAAGGAGAAATAAAATCCTTTTCAGACAAGCAAATGCTGAGGAATTTTGTTACTACTAGGCCTGCCTTGCAAGAGTTCCTGAAAGATGCGCTAAATAAAGAAAGAAAAAGCCAGTACCAGCCGCTGCAAAACACACTAAAATATAAAGACCAATGACACTATGAAAAAACTGCATCACCTAGTGTGCAAAATAACCAGATAGCATCTTGATGACAAGATCAAATTCATGCATAACAAACTAACCTTAAATGTAAATGGGCTAAATGCCCATAAAAGACACAGACTGGCAAATTGGATAAAGAGTCAAGACCAATTGGTGTGCTGTATTCAGGAGACCCATCTCACCTGCAAAGACATGCACAGGCTCAAAATAAGGGAATGGAGGAAAATTTACCAAGCAAATAGAAAGAAGAAAAAAAAAGCAGAGGTTGCAATCCTAGTCTCTGATAAAACAGACTTTAAACCAATAAAGATCAAAAAAGACAAAGAAAGGCATTACATAATGGTAAAGAGAAAAATTCAACAAGAAGAGCTAACTATTCTAAATATATATGCACCCAATACAGGAGCACCCAGATTCATAAAACAAGTCCTTAGACTCTCACATAATAATAGTGGGAGACTGTAACACCCCACTGTCAATATTAGATCAATGAGACAGAAAATTAAGGATATTCAGGACTTGAACTCAGTTGTGAATCAAGTGGACCTAATAGACATCTACAGAACTCTCCACCCCAAATCAACAGAATATATATTCTTTTCAGTGTCACATGGTACTTATTCTAAAATCGACCACATAATTGGAAGTAAAACACTCCTCAGCAAATGCAAAGAACTGAAATCATAACAGACTGTCTCTCAGACCACAGCACAATCAAATTAGAACTCAGGATTAAGAAACTCACTCAAAACCACTCAATCACATGAAAATTGAACAACCTGCTCCTCAATGACTCCTGGGTAAATAATGAAATTAAGGCAGAAATCAGGAAGTTCTTTGAAACTAATGAGAACAAAAAGACAATGTACCAAAATCTCTGGGACACAGCTAAAGCGATATTAAGAGGGAAATTTATAGCACTAAATGCCCACATCAGAAAGCTAGAAAGATCTAAAATCAATACCCTAATATCACAATTAAAAGAGCCAGAGAGACAAGAGCAAACTAATCCAAAAAACCAGGAGCTGGTTATTTGAAAAAATTACCAAAATAGATAGACTGCTAGATAGGCTAATAAAGAAGAAAAGAGAGAAGAATCAAATAGACACAATAAAAAATGGTAAAGGGGATATCA